TCAGTTTTAATTTTTAGTTTATATTTTTTGTAAAAGAGTACAAAAGAAAATTAGAGCAAGAATAGGAGTGAGGATGAGAGGGGAGAATGGGAGAGAGGAGTAACAAAATTGAAAACATTTTCAAATAGATTTCAATTTTTGTTTTTGTTTTCACTGTTGTTATTGTTTCCTCCCATCCTTTCATCTCCCCTCTTAATCACATTTCCACTCTCATTCTCACTTTCATGTTTCCTCTTTTTCCTTTATAATTTCTCACAAAATATAAAAACTAAAAACTAAAATTGAAATAGTTATCAAACGAAGCCATAATTAGTTATTGCAGTAAATGGAAAGAAATGCTTTATGTGTGAAATTAAAATTTCATCTTCTGAATCTTGATGAATTGAATCTCCTGGTATTATTTTGAGACGTACCGTAGTGGCTCGTGGTTTTTTATTTTTATTTTGGTCTTATGGGTTTTGCTTTGTCTGTTATTCCAAATGCAAGGTGACAAACGTCAGTCTATGACCATGACCATCAACATTACCTATAATGAACCAGCTGGGTTTCAATTCTAGCCGGCAGAAAAGCCCGGATCCAAGTCAAGGTCAATGATCTATAGCTGTCCTTATTTTTAGGTGTAGTTATACATACTTATAGATAACTTATACTATACGTGCAATAAGGATACGTGGAGAGAACGGGGCCTCCCACTTTTTCTTCTCACTAACGATAATAATCAGGATCATTAGACGTTTCCCGACATATGATGTTATTAAGTCACATATTATAATATGAGTAGATAACTTAGTGCCCGTTTGGCATTGCTTATTTGGGGTAATAAGTGATTTTTTAAAAATTTTGAGAAGCACAACCTGTTCGGTAAACAGGGGCGGAGCCACACTGGGACCAGTGTGGTCCCGGGCCCCCACTCAAGTATTTTTATATTTTAAAAGTAATATACTGTTATGTATTTGTATATGTATATTATTTCAAATACTTTATGTTTTAATATGTACCCACATGTATTGTGGCGGACTTATTAAGGCACAAGAAGGTAGTTCAAATTGCGCCCCTTGCTCAGCTAGTGGTGATGCACTGTAGGTGTACAGATTACCTTATTTCCATTTTCAACATTTAAGTAAATGTCTTTGTCCTTTGACTTTAATTTATTTTTATATTACTCCATTTACTTAAGTTTACAATGTAAATAAGGAAGTACCCCCTATTTGAATTCAAATAAAAATACTAGAAAATCAAATTCTCACCAAGTCAAAATATAAAAAATCGTTTTTAGTGTAAAATACGATTTAGGCTAAAAATGATGGCTCATTAAGTCAATATATACTTCATACTAAAATCCCATAAAATCAAGTTTTCTTATTTCATGTGTAAGGAATAAAAGCCGCCAAAAATTATCTTGAGAAAATGATTATTCCGAAAAACCATTTTTCATACTTAGTCAATATTTTTCATGTATGATATGAATGCATAAAGGGGCCTAAGGTTGTTTTTAATTTGGGAAATTTTGATTTTTTTTTCCTTTCTATTGGATTTAATGGGGAAAAAGCTTTAAACATATTTGCTAAATCACTACTCTTTGTCTATCTCTTGCATTTCTCTTGCTTAGAATGTATTTGTCTATCCCTTTGTCGAGAACAATTATGATTGCAACCAATAAGCGATATAATTCTTGACATATGTGATATATATACACTATTTTTTGTATTATGAGTTCGAATTTTTGATTCTTTATATTTTGTAAGAGACCCCCACACACATGAAATCCTGGCTTCGCCACTGTTGGTAAACTGTGAGAAAATAACTTATTGTTAAAAATTGCTGTGAGAGAAAGCTATAAGGGAAAGCAGCTAATGAGGTGCTTTCATTTTCTGATTATGCAGGAATCAGTTTCAAAGATGCGCTGGGTTTAATGATTATGCGGCAATCATTTTTTGATTATGCGTAAAATCAATACCAACAACACTTTTAACAAAAATTTTACCAAGCGTCAAACTGCTTTCTCTCACAGCTGATTTCTCTCATAGCAAATCTGACAGCGATTATTTTCACAGCACAGCAATGCCAAACTGGCCCTTAATAGATATTTTATAAATATAAAGTATATTCGTAGTATAACATCAGTGAATATATAGTTATTCACTTATTCCGATGCCTGCACTTCACGTTATTATTATGTATATGCCAGAAAAATCAAAAGTTAACTTGGTCTTTATATTATCTAGAAGACTCACCCCAAGAAAAAAATAATAATAATTAAATAAATAAATAAAAATTTGTTGACCTTGAAATATTACACATCTCTCTCTATATAAACCATAGAGCAAAATCACATAATTTGTACAACCCAAAACCAAATAACCATGGCTCACCATATCTGTTTCCTTTCCTTGCTCCTAATACTAGCCGCAGCGCCCCTTCGTGGCACCCATGCAGTCGACTACGTCGTCACCAACAACGCGGGAACAAACCCCGGCGGCGTCCGCTTCAACAACGACATCGGAGCTGAGTACAGCAGGCAAACTCTGATCTCCGCCGCCGACTTCATCTGGAGGGTATTCCAGCAAAACGCAGCCGCAGATAGGAAGAGCGTGGACAAAGTCAGCTTGATCGTTGAAAACATGGACGGCGTCGCATTTGCTAGGGGCAATGAGATCCACGTCAGCGCAGGCTACATAGCTGGCTACTCAGGCGATGTGAAGAAGGAGATCACCGGTGTGCTTTATCACGAGTCAACGCATGTGTGGCAATGGAATGGGAACGGTCAAGCCCCAGGGGGTTTGATTGAAGGCATTGCTGATTACGTGAGGCTCAAAGCAGGGTTTGTGCCAGGCCATTGGGTTCAGCCAGGTCAGGGGAACAAGTGGGACCAGGGGTATGATGTCACTGCTAGGTTTTTGGACTATTTGAATGGCCTGAGAAATGGGTTTGTGGCAGAATTGAATAAGAAATTGAGGAGTGGTTATAGTCCTAATTATTTTGTTGATTTGCTGGGGAAGAACGTTGATCAGCTCTGGACTGAGTACAAGGCCAAGTATGGAAACTAGATAACATTAAGGGCTGATTTAAGTGAATAAATTGTTGTATTATTAATAAATAAATTGTCTTAATAAGAATGTGCACGATTTATATATTGTTAAATTATCTAAACTACGTACAAAATTAAATAAGAATCGACTTAATTAACGATTCATAATCCGATAATATAACATGTCAAAATATCTAAAAGCTGAATAATCATGCCAGAACCTGGAATTTGTTGTTACCCAACTAGCCACGTCAGGCTAAGACATAATATTGAGCTAGAGAATTTTGGGTATTTGGCCTTAGCTATTGTCTTATGTATTTGGATTTGGTTCTTGGTAATCTGCCTTCAAAATGTAGTTTCAGTGGTCAAAATCTCAAGTCATCAGAAGGACAAAAATTTTCAAAGCCCTCTTGTCTCGAGCAAAGAACTTGTCTGGTTATATTTGTCTTTTGTTGATCATAACTTATCTCAGACCGACGGTCCAAAAATACTATTGGAGCTAGCTTTATCTCTTAAGAATATTATCTGCATTAGATCTCGCAAAGCTAATTTTTTTGTTTTATTTTAAGTGAACTAATTTGCCTAATTATAATAATAATAACCTAGTGCATTGCACAAAACAGTTGGGAATTAAGATATGCTACTGTTCTACTATGCTTATAGATTTGGGAATAATCACTTGCCCGGGACCATTAGGAAAATTTGAGATGTCTATTATGCTCTACAAGAATTGTAAGACTACAATGACAATTCAAGCAATTTCTACCCTTTCCCTGAGGGAATTAATGCAATAGGACGAAAAATTAATGAAAGGAAGGAAAAAAAAACCCCCTTAATTATTGCATATTTTTAACCCTTTCCTAAACCCGCTTGGACCCTTGAAAGAAAAATTTCCACACTATCTTCCAATACATAATGCTCATCCTTTACCAATGTGGGAAAAAATCTTTTTGTGTGTTGAAGGATTTTTGGGCTTGATAGTAATTTACTAGAAAAACTTGTATGAAACAGGATAGTACTGTTTGTTATCCCCAATTAATCACGGATTTTCACGTGAAAAAATTATCACGCGTGACATGTCGTAATTGATAAGAAATAGCAAAACAATGCTATCTGTTCCACACAAGTGTTTCTCGTAATTTGCAGGCCCATCTCCCTCTGCCCAAGTCTCATCACAAGACTAGTAGACGACGTTGCTCTCCTCCTGCTAGCATAAGTGATGACATTGGCCTTCTGACGTGGGACGCTGACGTGCCTTAAGCCCATGGACAAAAAATGTTTGGCTCGTTATCTTATACACAAGCTGATGAAAATTGTGATATAGTTCTTCTAGTTTCTGTTGATGGAGATGGTGATCGATTACTTGTGAAGGCGGGTCTTTTGACACCTTCAGCTTCGATGGTTTACATATCATCAACAAAATTCTCGCTTTTAAAATTGCAAATGCGTAATTTTAAAAGATAGAATTTACATATCATCGCTTCATCAGATGGCAGATATATACCCACTTATCAATTCAATACCATAAAATCTACATATACGTAGGCTTAAATCAAGTCATCATTTCATAGTATGCTCTATCTTCTCCACCACCAATCCAAAAAGGAAAAAAGATGAAAAAAAACCTTTTTTTCAGGGAAAAGAAAACCCATGTAGCTGAAAGAGACAGAGGAAGAGAAGTTGAGAAGGGCTGGAGATTTGGATCACATAGTTTGGGAGCAGATAAGCATTGACAGAATCACAGGCCAGAGACTCAAAAGCACATATTATATAAAAGACCTGAAAGAGCCATGTCCTTTATTTGATATGGTCATGGTAATGGTCAGAGCAATCAAGGTACAAGCAGCACACAGCCACACCAAAAATCTATATTTATCAAGGTACAAGAGCAATCATTACCATTGTTCATTATCATAGTTTAATAAATATCTCTATTTCAAACATAAACGTCGTCTCATTACTCATTTAGTTATTACTGGACTTGTTGAATGGCTAAAATAACTTCAGCAATGCCCTGAAACTTTCTCCTCTCCTTAAGAAGCAACTTTGCTATCTCAAGAGCCCGACGCTCACAACCTGCCCGTTTGCTAGCATCGGCGATTGATTCAAAATCTTCAACATGTGCAACACCAACGATTCTCCTGTCAAAAGAACAAAGTAAAAGCATTATTACAGTAACCAAATCCATAGTTTCTTGATTGGTAATTTCAACAACGAATTTAAAGACCACAAAGAATCGAACATAATCCCACATGAGCTAAGTATGAAACAGAATGTGCAATATATATACCCATAAAAATATATATATGTATTCATATTAATGAATTTACATATTTATATGCAGATTTCCAATTGCCATTGAGTACACTGACTGCATGGAAAATCAGTGAGACCGCACAAAACACATCTGTGTGTGTGGTCTTTGTTCTTGTAACCCATCCTTCAACTTGAAATATTTATTTTGAGCGCGAGTTTTGCTGGTCCAGTTTCTGTCTAGGACGGTGGTATTTGCTCAATATTCAACTGAGAAAGAAAAAGAAAAAGAGTCTTGGTGGCGAACACATACTATTATATCATAATTAATCCATCCCATGTCTTCCCAGGTCTAGAAGCTGCCCTATTTGGTATTAAAATGAACTCGTAAGTTCCCAAATGACTTGAACAATGGATAAATAGAGATATTTATTAAACTATGATAATGAATTATTCAACATTCTGGGAAGCCAAATTGGTAAACACAAGGCAAAGACAACATATACTAGAAATAAAGAAATCTGTAGTCTGCTGTCTCACCTTATCATTTTCGCAGCACCAAAACCAAGGGAGTCATGAAGCAGATCTTTAATAAATTTCTTTTGTACAAGCTGTAGAAGCCCAGGGTTGTTATAAATCGCAGGAAGATATGCGTCACCAGAATCCTTGTTTGTATCCCATAGTGCAACGAATTTTCTGTCGAAAAGGTTCCAAGTGTTTTCAATTGTCCTCAAAATCCAATCCTTGTATGCCTGCATCATAAAGCGTATTTCATACGAGACCCTCAGACCCACACCATGCATAAGCAATGCCAAATAATAAGTCAAACTATGAATTATTTGCCCGACAACCCTCAGGTTTAACACGTTTTCGAAATGGACCTTACACATTCAGAAATTATACTAGAACTAGATGAAGTTTTTTTTAGTTGCACAAACACCCCCGCTATCATTCTGTCAAAAGCCTAGCACTTGCATCAGCATGAAAAAAATTTAAATTACCAAAATTGAAACAGCAGCAATAACCAAAATAGTATCCAAACACCCACACACAAAGTTTTTTATTTATTTATTTAAAATTTTAAAAAAAAGTACTTGTATATTCCAGACACAGCAATGTTCTTCCTCTCACAATTGAAGCTAAAGAAATTTCAAATCCACCATCAAACTGTGAAGGACCAACTCTGTGTCTATGCCATCCATTCAAATCATAATCTTCAAAGCTGTATCAACAAAGTGGATTGGTGTATTTCTGGGTATCAAAAGAAAAAATCTAATTCCAACTGCCAAGCACATCACTATTGATACATGATCACAATTTCTGCAGACTATATTTTGATAACTGAATTGGGATAACCTTGTCAAAGTGTTATCCTTTCATTATAATGTAAAACGTTTCTAAATACTGTACCGAGAAAAAAAAAGTTTATAAAAAATTGCCAAAAGAATCAAGTTTTTAACTTCATTAATATTGTCTGTTCTTCAGCATGAACACTCACAAGCCCACATCTGATTTCACTAAAGAAATTAAGACAGATGCTTACATGCTACAAGATTAAATGGATGGTTATTGTATTCCATGGTTAGAACTCAAAAAGGAAAAAACTACTCATGAGCATGAACGGCGGTGAAATTATTAGAGAAATCTTGGAGATCAACTTGATCAAATTGCTAAGACGATTAGCAAGGTCTTGAAAGATGACAAAGGGGAGCAATAACCTTTTTTTTTCTTTTCCAGAACCAAATATTTAACAACAAGTTAGATAAATATAGTATCTAATTATCTATCTAACACTATAGTATGTCTGACCAAAACAAATTATCTAAGAATAGCTTTAACAGATGCAAAAGATAGATACCACATTGAAAAACGAAATCACGTAATAAGAACAGAAATACTTGAAAATAATTCATCAAGAAGAAAATAATAGTTGAAAACAAGTGAAGGACAATGGAATAGAGCTTACTTTTCGATCATTCTGCTCATCAGCATGCCCATCTTGTGCAAAGAAAGCCAAAATCAAGTTACCCAGAAAAGCGCCAATATCAAAACCCATTGGTCCATAAAATGCAAATTCTGGATCTATAACTTGAGTTGAATCATGAGTCACCATTACAGAACCAGTGTGAAGATCTCCATGTATTAGGGCTTGGGCTCTCTCACAGAACCTACAGAAAAAGGCAACTTGACCATTCAGATGACAATTTAAAATGATACAATTGCATAGAGACTAATCTGCTACTAAGATCGGATAGTTTCATTACAAAGATTTCAACTCAGCAACTTCAAGCTTCAAAGCATTATCCTCCCGTATAGCCTCAGCATCAGAATCAAGATAAGGAGAAGTCCAGTGGTTATATTGAGATATTTTGTATGGATCAGAAAAAACAACCTGCTCAGTAAGCCTGCATAACTCCACATTGCCACAAAATTCAGCAACTGCAGAAAGTAAACATGCAGATGAGTTAATGACAGATAAAAAATCTAGACAAAATATATTCTTCACCAGTATTGAAAAGAAGACTAAAGTTGAGGCAGAGTTTCTTTTACTCTTTCTTTTTTCTCTTTTAGATAGGAAACATAAACTTTTTCAGTAAAACGAAATATGGTTACAAAAAAAAAGGACAAGAAGTCCATTTGAAAACAAGCATTTAGCATAGTACAAAGAGAATTAAGTTACAATCCACTAAAAACTCCCGCCCATTCTAAATGAATTGTACTAGAAGGAATGCCCCTAAACAATGATGCCTAAAGAGAGGCTAGGTATATGACTCTGTCCTGAATAAAATCCTCCTCTTCCACCTTGTCATTAAATAATCTTTTATCTCTTTCACCCCACACAAGCAAAATAGAAAACAAAAACTGCACCACTCACTAATTAGTTCTTCTTGGCCCCAGCAAGGAGAAACTCCCCGGCCAACAGAACAAGTTTCTAGCTCAACCCAAACCCAATCCGAAAATGCAAGAACTTCAAATTCGCAACATGAAAGAACAAGATAAAAAGATATTATCAGCACTCTTGTCCCTATCTTTGCAAAAAATACACCAAGTATTAGTGTATCTATTATATGTAACACCAACGGTGTAAAATTTTGAACTTTTGTAGGTACACAGTTTTTCAAAATTATCTTATAAAGTTCAAAAACTGGGTAAATTGAATCCTCTAACATAGAATGGAAAAAAGTACATGAAAAGACCCCAGAATCATGGAATTTTTTCAAATGGGAACTGAATTCAACAAGATATTATCAATAAGACACTGATTCTAAAAACTCAATCACTTTCCTATATTATTCAGACTGAGTATTAAGTTAACCAACCTATTATCTGGTTTAACTTGCAACCACAATTGGAGAACATTGTGCATGATTATTCTCCCCAAAAAAAGAAAACTAATGACAGGATTCAGAACTATACCATTTCTGTAATTGGACTAAAATGCTCACCCAATCAAGACCAAGACAAATATTCAGTCATATTTCACATAGCAATGTATGATTCACAACTTCACATACATTCCACCTAAAGCATCTCAAGATCATGCATTCTATCTCCAACATGTCATGAGAGAACAAATAAAGCACACGATAAATATTGTGAAAACAGAACATAATCAATTAAAAGAATACATCACATACCAGCTCGTTTGTGGTCCGTGGTATTACGATAAAGGAGGGATGTGAAGAACAGAGTCCTTGCAATATAGTCCGACATGTGGTCCGCCAGCAAGGGGTACTCAATTCCAGCAATCAATCCTTTCCTCAGTATGATATGTGGAGGCTCCAAATAGCGCATGCCAATCAAAGACATGGTCCGATCAAAATGATAAACTTCAGGGACATGATCAGGACTTAAACCACCATGCTCTCTCAGTGCCAATGCCTCAAAATATGCTCTTTCCTTTGTCATTGGCCATGACTCCCCAATACAACGAATATATGGCAGAGCCTGCAAAAACCCAGCCGCATATTTCATCAGGGGACAAGAAAAGCTTACTGATTTTAATTTTCTCCAATCAAAGTCAAATCATAGAACCCACAAACCCATTACTACCCAAATGTTGAAAAATCATTAACTACTTAGAACCCAAGTTGAACATTTTGGAGTTGGATCCAATTAAATTTGATCAAATACCAACAATCCGTTACTACCCAAAAGGTGAAAAACCATCACCTGCTTGATGACGAAAGAACCAGTGGAGCCAACGACGATGAAGACGAAATTGAGGTTGCCATCACCCACTTCTTTGATTGTTAAGTTGTCAAAATTGTTGTTGAGCTTAGAAGAGAGAGAAGGTGTGGCCTTTATGTATTCTATGAGGACCTTCTCGTCCAGTGGGCGAAACTCAGAGAAGGCCATGGTGTGGTGGCGGCGATGAAGAGGAGGGGTGAGAAAGTTAGAGTTCAGAGGTTGAACTGAGAAGATAAAGGTCTGAATAACGTTGGAATTGGAATCTTTGGATGGTGAAAGTTCTGGACTTTTTTATCCGACGAAATAGAAAAATTGAGACTTTTGGTTGATTGGTGCAAATGCAATGAATCTGGTCTGGTTCTCGCTTTTCTCATTGGCCAAGTGATAATGGCGCTGTAGCATGGATGGCACCGGATGCTCCAATTCAGGAAAAACTGAAACACAAAAAAGGATGCTCAAACTTTTTTTTTTTTTTTTTTTTTTTTTTTTTTTTTAGAAGGATGCCCAAACTTGCCAATAAAATAAAAGGATATGATTTCCCGATTCCCATTTTCTCCAATTACACTCTCTTTTGCTTTTAAATACTTTTTAATCAATTTTATTCTTTCTCTTTCCTATTCTACCCTTATCTTACATTAATTTCTTTTTACTTCACTTTATATTAGTTCTTTTTCTTTATACTTAATTTTCTAACTTGCACTCCATTTTCAGTATTTTTTTTCTTTAATCGAGTAAGAAATTAAGTTTTTTTTTCTTTAATCAAGTAAGATTTTTTTTCCCCCTTTAATACTGAAAATGGAGTGTAAGTTAGAAAATTAAGTACAAAGAAAAAGAAATAATATAAAAGTGAAGTAAAAAAGAAATTAATGTAACGTAAGGGTAGAATAGGAAAGAAAAATAACAAAATTAATTAAAAAGCAAAAGGGAGTGTAAGTGAAGAACATAGGAGTGGGGAAATTAGCTCTCAAATAAAAACCCGACTCCCAACAAAACATGCTTTATCTCAATTTTATAACATGATATATATAAACTATTGTAATGTTTGACCAACTAGATTTATTGTTTAAATTATTAAATGTTGGAATTCCCTTCAAGTATAAAATCAAACAAAATTGTTCTCACACTCGAAATAAGACATTGTAATAGTCTATCCATTCATTTGTATAGTAATTCACATGGTCGTAAGAAGCCATTATAATAGTTTTTTTAAAATATAAATTTGGGATTGCATTTATAATTGAGTAAAAATAAAATAAAAAGTCACAAATGGCCATTATAATAACGGAGTGATCTAACATCAAAACTAAGACAATATGAGACTCCTCCATTAATGATCATGTATGATCGAAGAAACTCCAGCATAAGTATCCCAATTAAGAATGCGAACTCAAAAAAACTAAAAATAGATAAAGTTTGAAAAAACCAAGTCATAACAATACAAAATAAAACTCTTACAAAAGAGATGTGAAAACTACACAAAATTAAAAGAGTTTCTGCGACTTATTCTAAATATGGAGAAATCGCAAAAAGGATGGCGGTAGAGATCCGAACCAAAACGCAAGTGGAGATTCGACATCGAGACGCATCCGCCTGTGATGAGTGGAGGAAAATCATTACAAAACGAAGATAAATATGGGAATAATTCTATCTCTTAAAATGGGGGGAAAGAGAGGAGGAAGAACAGTGGCTTCCTCCCCCCTTAAAGTGAAAACCGATGTAGAGTGTGCCATTATAATAGTTTATGCACTCATTTATTTAGTTAATATAAAATAAATGCATGATAACTTTTTTTTTTTTAAAAATTAGCGAATGCATGATAACTTTTTTAGAGTAAATAAGCGGTTCTAAAAAAACTAGGAGAGTTCTCATTTGTATAATCAATTTTTAAGGATAAATTTTCTTGTCAATGGGTCTAGCCTAGTGAAAAAGGGCGTTAACTTGTAGATTAGTATTCTTAGGTTCAAACCCTCATGGCATATTGGTATTGTGTGTGAGCTATCCTCCTCTTTGTAGTTTAGACTATCGCTTGTATTTTAAAAAAAGGATAAATTTTCTTCTTATTTGTTTATTTTCCCCTAAAATATTCTAATTTTATTTGTTTATACAAGTGATATTGTGAGACGAGACTTGAAGGGGTGGCATTTTAGACCGAAAAACCACAAAAACCAACCGACTATTTACAACAATGAAACCACGATCGCTGTAAACCGAACCGCATTTGCGGTATGAAGAACCGAACCGCATTTGCGGTTACGATTGCGGTATTTGATTTTCAAAACTTGCGGTTACCGTAAACCGCAAAGTATAGCCAATCTATATTGTTTTATTTGATCTTCTTATAATAAAATGTACTAAACTATGTTGTTTAGATAGCATTGGTGTTCAAACAACACAACGGGGTTCTTCAAATCCACTCACCACCAACACTTGAGTTTGTAACATTGGTGCATTGCATTTTTCTTTTAGTTTATAACTTTAATTAACTTTGAATTGGATTTTTCCTTTTAGTTATAACTTTAATTCATTTTGTTTTGTATTTTCATTTTGGTTTGTAACTTTAAAGGATTTGGAATTTGAATGCTTGAGAAGTTTAACTTTAATTGGAATGCTTGGAATTGTAACTTTAATTTTCTTTAGGTTGTGAATGCTTGAGAAGTTGAGGAGATTGTGAATTTATATATGCTTGAGAAGTTGAGGTTGTGAATTTATATTTTTGTGAATGCTTGAGAACTTGCGGTTCGGTCGGTTTGCGGTTTTAAAAATCACAATACCACAAATAGTCGGTCGGTTTGCGGTTTGGGCAAAAAATTCGCGATTACCGAACCACAACCACCCCTAGACTTGAACATAGGACTTCAAGTGCATAAGTAACTGTTTTTTAACCACTTGAGATCCGAGTCTTGCAACATATTCCTTTGTCCAATGCCCATGGATTGGTGATTACGAGACCAACCCAAACCCGTTAGCATCCGGGTCAATTTGACCGCCCAATGGGTAGTTGACTCTCCGCATCACTCTCCATCAAAGCGCGCGTAAACCACACACCTCGAATCCAATCGAAAACTGGATATGAACGCCATGCAACCCTGTTCCGATCACTCCCTTCCTGCTCACTCAATCAACCACTGACCGAAAAAAATGGCGAGGCCGGTGGCAGTGGTGGTGGTGGTGGTGGTGGCAGCTTTCCTGGCCGGTCTCTTGACCTCTGAAATCGCAGCAGAAATCGCCCAAAACTCGGCCGATTTTTACAATCTCGGCCGCCGTCGTTTGCCGCAGCAGTCTCTCTGTTTGGAGCTCATTGAGCCTTCTGGGTACTCTTGCTCCGAGCACAAAGTGAGTATTACTTCACCACAAAATTGCCCGTTTTCATATTTGATTGTTAAATTTGTGATGAAGTGAGTAGCTTTGAGATACCCAGAAACCCAGATGCTCAAAGTTCGTTGTTTCTTGGTTTTTTTCTTATGCAGATTCAAACGAAAGATGGCTACTTATTGGGTCTTCAACGCGTATCGTCTCGAAGTGGGGATTTGAGAACCCAGCTGGGTCCTCCGGTGCTGCTTCAGCATGGACTCTTCATGGTGAAGTTTGAATTTTCATCACTATACTTTAACAAATGCAAAATAAGAAATTGAATTTACACTTGCAATTACTTTGTGGAGTATGCTTTGTGAGCCTGTGACCTGTTTTATTTGAACTTTGAAACAATATTTTGCAGCTTTAAAGTTATAGCACTGCGCTTGGGTGAATAAAGCAAATGATTTTATGCTATGATTGCTAATTTTTAAAGAGGCTTTAGAAAATGTAGAAAAAACAGATGATTTTGGGCCGCATCTGTTCGACTGTTTAACTGAATTAATCAAAGTCTTTTTTTATTGTTGTGTTTTCTTTGGAGTTTGAGGGTTCAAGAGCTGATGAGATTGCTTTGGTGGGGGATTTTATTTTCCCTATAGCTGAGGAACTCAAACAAATGCACACCTCTAATGACCATGAGTAGTACTGATGTATGGAATCTGCATACCAATTGGTGAAAAGCCTAAGTAGTATAGCTCCTTCCCATCTTTTTAGCAGGCTCTAGAAATGTTGTAATGCCATGTTAAATGTATGATATTGGAATTTGACTGTTTAATTCACACTTTTTGTTCTCCGTGGTCTGAAGTTTAGTTTTCAATTTTTTATATTTTATATTTCTTTCATGAAAAGAACATATGTGGTAAAGCGTTGAACACGAGCGAGATGAATTTTGATTAGGCTATAGTGTATTTGAAATTTAATTGAACTTAGTTAATTTCGCTTGATCTTATGCTACCCAGTTTTGAATTTCAAACAGGCAGGCGATGCATGGTTTTTAAATTCTCCAGAAGAATCGATGGGCTTTGTCCTTGCAGATCAAGGTTTTGATGTATGGGTAGGAAATGTGCGCGGAACACGTTGGAGTCATGGACACGTATCTTTATCTGAAGATGATAAGGTCTATATAGCATACACATTTTTCTGTCTTGCAGTTATAATGTCATTTATTTCATTCAATGATAAGTTGTGGTTCCAGTAATTTATGTGTATTAGTTGTATGTGGAAAGTCTGGATTGTCCCCCTGATTGTTCTGTCAATGAAAAATCTGGGATAATTTACAGGGATGTGTATATAATGCATACTGAGAATCACATATGAATAAGCCACTTTGCTCTTCCTGCCTCAATATTTCATGGTTGAGCGATGACAATAATGAATTGGATAGAGGGAACAGATAAACGAGATTTAAAAAGGAATACACTTATGGATAGGCTCCTCCCTTTTCAGAGATATCAGTATGTACCTGATTTCCTTGATAAAAGACATGTTTCACTATTTAGGTTTTTTTAATTTCTATAACGTTTGTGCTAATTTATACACTCAACATGACTTCATGTTGGTTATTGGCTATCTGAGCCGGTTTTGAAGTTAGTGGACAAAGGGAACGATCATATACATTACATCCTTTTTTTTTTGGTCTTAACGGAATGATCATATTTGAAGTCCTTAATGCTTAATTCGCTTATCTGTAATCTGAAGATACTTGGTTAATACTTTGTCAGAATTTTTGGGATTGGAGTTGGCAGGAATTGGCTGAATATGATCTGGCAGAAATGATACACCACATATATTCGATAACAAACTCCAAAGTCTTTATTGTTGGACATTCACAGGTCTTACACGTCTTCATCTACTTTATACCTCACCTGCCTTTCTGCGCCTTGTTTTAGTGTGAACTTAATTTGTTCATGTTATTAGGGAACAATCATGTCTTTAGCTGCTCTCACCCAGCCGGATATAGCAGAAATGGTTGAAGCTGCCACTCTTCTCTGTCCAATATCGTACTTGGAACATATCACTGCTAAATTTGTACTTAGAATGGTTAATATGCATCTTGATCAGGTATTCCTGATCTGCTTCGAGCTAAATTGTATGAATGGATCCTGGAGATAAATTTGATGCATATGTTCATTTTTTTCAGATGATTCTTGCTATGGGCATCCATGAACTTAACTTTAGAAGGTTTTGCTTTATCTTGTCCACCTTTTTTTCCCTAGTTTTCTTTTTTCTCAAATGTTATGAGGTTTCATTAGTACTAATCTTGTTATCATCTGTACATTATATGTAGTGATTGGGGAGTCAACCTTTTGGATTCAATATGTGATGGCCATGTTGACTGCAATGACTTGCTAACTTCCATAACAGGTTCTATTTGATCTATATACTACTTATCTCCCCTCCCCTTCCCCTTCCTCTCCCTCCCTCCCTCTGCGTGTGTGTAGGCGCATTGTGCTCAGGCATCTGTTTTATGTGTTGTGCACATGCCCATTTTAAAATGTTTTCAAAGGAAACTTGTTTTTTTTATTCTTTCTGATATTGTTTATGTGACTCTGCTGCATAAATTTCTTAGAGAAAACGAACCAGCCAGTTTCCTCATAAAGCAGCTAATTAGAACTAATAAATTTATAGGTTTCCATTTTTTTTTCTGTCAATGAGGGATTCAAATTTGAGACCTCTGCAAACATTGGGGGTGTTAAACTGTCAGCTTGTTGTCATCTTCAATGGGACTTAAGTTTGTAGTTCTACATAATGGCTCTAGGAGGAAGGTCATGTTATTCACAAGTATGATTTAAATATCCAGTAGACATGATTGATTTTTGAGAAAGCACTGTTGCGGGTGTATTATTAAGATTGAAATTCCGAAGGTGCTTCAATGTTACAACATAAAAATTTTCATCTCGTTTTGTATTTATTGTTAAGAGTCTACTAAGAAAAGGTGCTCTGATAACTTTTAGGGAAGAATGGTTGCTAAAGGCGTTTTGATAACATTTCAGGGAAGAATTGTTGCTTTAATAACACACGGGTGGACTTCTATCTTGATTATGAACCTCACCCAACATCCACAAAGAACTTGCATCATCTCTTCCAAAGTATGCTCTGTACCCTTCGTATTTGCAAGAATATCAGTTACCTACCTCTCTTCTTTTTCTTTTTCTTTTCGTAAACTGATTATTGCATCTTGTGTTGAGCAGTGATTCGTAAGGGTACTTTTTCAAAGTACGACTATGGCATCTTAAAAAATTTGAAGCTGTATGGTCAGTTGAAACCCCCTTCATATGATCTTGGCCTCATACCCAAGTCACTGCCACTGTTGATGGCTTATGGGGGCAATGATGATTTAGCTGATGTGGAAGATTTCCGTCACACTCTCAAGGAATTGCAGTCCACTCCAGAGCTGGTTTATCTCGAGAATTATGGTCATATAGACTTCATTGTGAGCATAAAAGCCAAAGAAGATCTTCATGACCGCGTGGTTGGGTTTTTTAGGTCATGGGGAAAATCTAGTAGTTCTTAAAGCTACTGCTTGCTGTAACATGTGATCAATGTGGTTTGTGAATGTACTGTACTAAAAGCGTTACAGTGCATATATTGTAAATAACATTATTTTCTCTTTTCTAAAGTTGATGCTTGAAAAAAACCAATGCAGGATCGGTTATTATAGATATGTACATGTATTTCTGTATCTTATTGGGTTTACCTTTCTGGTTTGTCTATGAATCAGACAAGGGAGAAGAGGAGATAATTTCTCACTTCAAGATGGACTTGTGCAAGCACTATGGCAAAGTCGCTTGGGTGGCTCCAATCGGACATGGATGACGGTCGTATGGGTGGCATATGTTCTTGGTCAACCACTGTTGGTACTTGCATCCTTGTATTCAACTTTAAAAAATGGTAAAGTTCTGGAAATAACAGAACTTTTAAAACCAAACAAAAAAAAAAAAAAAGAAAAAAAAAAAAAAAAAATGTTTTTAATCTTTATTCAATTACGTGATCAAAGTTAGTTGACTAATGGATTAATGATTGACTAATTCTGTGATTGAAGAATGCTACTGTTAGTTCCCTACGCTCATGTGGTTTAATTTCTAACTGTTGAGGATGAGGTATTGTGAGCTATGCATGCATGAACGGTCAGGATTTGCCCACCCGGATGTGGGAGAGTGAGCCCTTCTAGTAACAATTAAAAGCATGTATGACTGCGTTTAGCCAAAAAAATAAAATAAAAGTGCTTATGGATAAGAAGGACTTTCTGGAAAAGCATCTAGGTGCTTGTTTAGGAAGCACGGTCAAAAAATTCGATGTTCTATTAATAAAAGCGTTTATAAGCATAAATGCATTTTATAGAAGGGGTCGTTAGCAGTCACCCTGATTCACTTATTTTCACACTCAATCACCTACGTCTACTACACTCCCATGCAAAATTAATGGGTCTGGGGATAATTGAGTTATACTTGGCAGGTTCTTGAAAATGGTTTGATTCTTTGTTTGTAACACTTTTTTGTGTGCACGTAAAGAGTAGCTACTAAATGCCATATCGATAGAACCTAAAGTTGTAACAGAAATTGCGTAGGCCAAGTCAAATCTTCACAGTGGGTCACAAGGGATACAAACTTGTCTACCATGACAATAACACTATTTTGATATCTTTAACCAATTATGTTCAGCCACGAGTGATAAGAATTTCACATGACGAAGCGTGATTGGATGAGAATAAAAAAAGCAAGGTTATTCCCGTGACATGCAATGCAAGTCCTTCTCGTCGCAAGGAGCATGATCAGAAGTCTCATTTGACAGAGAATGATTGGGAACGAATGTGTGGCAAGTGATAAAACAAAACACATGGCATGTTTGGTATTATTCAACTTGAATCTAACTTTTTAAACTCAAAATCAGAATTTGAGTCCAAAACAAAGAAAACTTGTTTGGTAGATCTATATTTAAAAACTCAAACTCAAAAACACCTAAAAAAACACCCCAATTATTAAAAACAAAAAATATATGTTTTTTCAGTTTTTCTTTTCTTTCTAACAACTCACAAGTTCTCAAATTTTTTAAATTTGAAAATAGTTTCTAGGTTGCATACCAAACAAGTTTTTGAATCTTAAAATTAGATTTAAGAACTCCTTATTTTTAAGAAAAATCAAAGTTTTTGAGTTCCCTATTTGAATAGGATACCAAACACCCCCACAGTTTTTTCAAAAGAATCACTCTCTCTCTCTCTCTCTCTCTCTCTCTCTCTCTCTGAAAAGACTTCCATGAAACATGAATATCACTATTTTGCTATTTCCGCCCAATAACGTTATGACATGCGTGATAACACTTTCCCATGAAAGAGCATTATTGGCCGGAAATAGCAAAATAATGTTAATCTCTGTTACAACTAATTTTTTCTCCTCTCGCATTTATTATTTAGAATAAATTAATGGGTGAGATTTGTCTGTACTGCCTTTAAAAGTAAAAGCAAAACAAATCTTCAAATGTCTTCATTTAATTGTATCCACTGGCAGATCCAAGAATTTGTTAGCGAAGTTGTAATGTTTAAAGGCTGAAAGTAAAAGCTGTAAATAAATAAAAAGACAACTAAATATCCTTATAATTTAAACAATAATAATGTCATTCATAATTTATTGAAAATAACATTACAATTAACCTATAATTATTACTGACGAGGTTTCAAATCATGAAAACATTGCATTTTTCATTACTAATACAAACAAAAATATTTTTTTCTGTAATGTTTTTTTTTTTTTTTTTTTTTCTTTTTTTTTTTTTTTTTATCCTTTTAGTGTCACCATGAATATTTAATCTGGGCAGTGAGAAGGCCCTATAATTTTATGCAAGGGTTGTCCTTGTTTAATGCCCACAAAATTTTTGATCTAATACAATTTGTTTTTCATCCAATGGCCCAATTATTAGGAAGGATGCGCAAGGTTTTGATTTAGATTTAGATTTTTTTTTTTCTGTTGGGAGGATGCGCAGCGCATGTTTCCTTTTTTAATTATTATTTATTATATATATATATATTTTTGCATCCTAGTCCAAAACGACGTTGTTTTGGCCAATACTTAAAATAATAATAAAAAAAGGAGCGCAAATTGGTTGAGTCTTTTCGTCGAACAGATGGAGTACAGCAGCAATAGCCACAACAAAGGGGCAACCTTCCACCACTCCAAAGATTTTTCCGGTGAAGGATGCACCTCCTTGTACCTCAATAGGTATGCCATCAATCAAAAGATCGACTTTTCTACCACAAAAAAAATAAATCAAAAGATCGACTTGCAAAAGCCATCTCTAGTCTAGTCAAACAAACCAAACAATGAATCCGTAAACGACATTTCTTAGTCATTCACTAATATCCCTTTCCTATACCAAAGTTCAAATAAGTTGACATTTAGTCATGATATGCCATTTAATTTTGTTAACGGGTGAATTTATACCTAACGGATTAAAACATAATCACACATATAACACAAGTGTTTGAGTGGTTCACCCATAATGTGGCTACATCCACTGTAGTTTATGTTGGCGAGTCCTTACTTAGTTAGGATTTTGATTCTTATTTAGTTAGAATTACCAATTATTATTTAGTCATATTGTAATAGAGATTTATTTCATATTGTAATTTAGATATATTTCCTATTTTATTTTGGGTTAACACATCTTTGTACTTGTATAAATACCTACATATTGGAGAAGAATAATAAAATGAGCATATATAAGCATAATTGAATATTTGTCCTACTTTGTTTGACTTGGTATCAGAGCTAGGTTCTCTTGTAACCTGTACTTGAGTTCTCCTTGCAATTTAAGTGTTCTCCTCCCCTCCTCTTTAAGGGGGAAGGGGGAGTGAAAATGGATCTATTTCTCTTTCCTATACCTAATCACCCCTCATCTTCAAGGGGGAATGGGGAGGGAAAAATGATCTATTTCTCTTTTCTATACCTAATCTCTCTCATGTGTTCCTCGCCCCATTACCTTGGTGTATTCCCATGAAGAAATTGCTTATTTTTTGGCTCCGACGATCCCTTCTCTTTAGGGGGAGTGAAGAGAAGTTGTGTCTGCGTGAATTAGCTAAAGTTGATATGGAAGAATTTGTCGTTGCTGTTTTCCACTAGTGTTGTTGTTGTTGTGGCCCCTGTTGTAGCCGTTGATGTTGCATTTGTTTGCTTCGCTTTCCGTTGCTATGGTCATTATCAATGATGTTTCTGTGTTTTGATCTGTCTCTACAACATAAAAAACCTTAACCCTAAATACTACCTATTTCCACTGCACTATACACCTAACCTATAATCTTAGCCCGCCACCATCGTCCACCTTGCTATTGTCACTGCCACCTACCTTGCTATTGCTGCCACCCCGCCATCCATCACCATGCCGAATGTAATTTAGATATATTTTCTATTTTATTTAGGGTTAATACATCTTTTTACTTCTATAAATATCTCCATATTGGAGAAGAATAATAAAATGAGCATATATAAGCATAATTGAATATTTGTCATACTTTGTTTGTTTGCTTATAGCTTTATATTTGTATTTGAATATAGAGATTACATTGTACATGAGAGAGATATGGGGAGAGAGACTTGAGAGCTCGTAGAAGTGAAAGCCGATTGTCTCTTTACTTGGAGTGGTAGATAATGTATGGCTCTCCTTGATTTGGGGTTTTGGACATTAAGAAGGCATAAGAGGTGGTATGGCTACCAGAGCCGATCCATTGATTTTGGAGGCCCTGTGCAAATATGGATGTCGAGGCCCTATATATACAAGTAGGAAAAAAAAAATCCATGTTACAAAAATTTCTAACATGGGAAGAACACATTCGGAAAGAGCTTTCCATAAAATTTCTTTAGTCACCCTTCCAAATCACAGAGCTGATAAATTGATTTTCCAATTTCAATGCTTGGTGAATTCTCATGTGAATAAGGGAGGGAGAAAAGAACTGTGATTTTAGGGAAAGGGCTAAAGCTTGGGTTTTTACAATCCAAAATTTGATGGAAGAGGGTGGTACATTGGTATTGAAGAAAAATTACTTTATTTTGATGGAGGAGAGTGAGAAAGACTTATTGAAAGAGAGAAGAATATTAGAATGGTTTTGCAGCTTGAGAGTTGGGAAGAGGAAAACACAGGTTTCAAACCATAATAAATAAATAAAAAGAAGAGTTGCAGCGTGAGAGTTGGGAAGAGGAAAATGAATTAAATTAAGGCATCTACTCTCTAAGTCGTAGAATTTGTTGATAATTAATATTAAATTCAATTTTGGTTTTGGTTTTGGTACCTTGCATGTAGTGTTGTGGGGTGATATTTAATATTTCATTTTTATTTTCATGTTTTAGTTAATTTAATGGGTTGATTTGAAAAAATTTGGAGGCCCTTAAATTTTAGAGGCCCTATGCAATCGCACACCTCGCACACCCCATGGGCCGCCTCTAATGACTACCCCTTATTTGATGGGATGTGAGGTATGACAAGTAAGGTTATCCCCTGATTTGTGGGATTTTCCCCCTTGTACTAAAA